GCAGCAGCAGCAGCTGCTGCCGCTGCTGCTGGCTAGGGTGTACCTACAGCACCCGGCCGCAGAGCCTGCTCCCTGCTGCTGCAGCAGCAAAGTCTTTAGCGTGGCAGCAGCATAGGTCTGGACTGCATTTGCTGAGGCTCTCCAGCTCCAGTTGCGCTCGAGCAGCAGCAGCAGGACCAGCAGCAGCAGCAGCAGACGCAGCAGCAGCAGCAGACGCAGCAGCAGCAGCAGAAGCACAAGCAGCGCTGAAGGACTGGGGCGACTTGGGGGCTTCTTCTGAGCTGACATTTAGGTTCTCGGGAGATATTGAAGGCCCACAGCTGCTGCTGGCCACGGATTACCACCTCGAGCAGCAGCAGCAGCAGCAGCAGCAGCAGCAGCAGCTGCTGCTGCTGCAGCAGCGAAGCAGCACCCCGCAGGAAGAGAGCAGCAGCAAACACGGAGGACGGGACCACAGGGAAAATGAGGCAGCAATTGTTCACGGGCGTTTGCAGCCAGTGCGCAGGCGGCAGCAGCCGCAGCAGCAGCAGCAGCAGCAGAAGCAGCAGCAGCAGCAGCAGCCATCAGAAGGAGAACTCACGGAAGACTTTGCTGCTGCTGCTTTGGCTCTGGAGACCCGAACTGACCGGAGGGAGCAGCGAGCTGCTCGGCGGCAGCGGAACGCTCGGCCTCACCACCCCAGCAGCAGCAGGAGCAGCAGCAGCAACAGCAGCAGCAGCAGCAGCAGCAGCAGCAGCACGAACATTGACGACTTGCTAGAGCTGCTGAGGGAAACCCCCTCGCGGCAGCAGCGGCAGCGGGAAGGGCAGGGAGCAGCAGCAGCAGAAAGGCTGCTGGAGGCCTACGGGCCTCTGGCCAGCAGCATGCCTTTTCTGCAGGAAGATGACGCAGCAGCAGCAGCAGCAGCACCAGCAGAAGCAGCAACAGCAGCAGCAGCAAGGGGGGCAGTGGGGGGCTCCGAGGAGACCCCCATCGTCTCTGCAGCAGAGCTGGCCGAAGTCGAAGCAGAAATTGAGGCCCTCACCGGAGATTCGCTGCAGCAGCAGCAGCAGCAGCAGGAAGAGGCGCAGCAGCAGCAGCAACAAACAGCGAGGCAGCTAGGCGACTCTGTGGGGCCTGACTTTGAGCTCCTTGACAGCGTCACTCTTTAACACTGCAGCAGCAGCAGCTGCAGCAACAGCAGCTGCAGCAGCAGCAGCTGCAGCAATAGCAGCAGCAGATCTTGTAGCTACTCATTTACAGCAGCTCTGAAGCAGCAGAATTAGTTTCAGGTTTGGTTTGCCCTTTGTTCGCGTCTGCTGCCAGCGTTCAGCAGCAGCAGCAGCAGCAGCAGCAGCAGCAATCTCCCCTGCTGCAGTAGCAGCAGCTCTTCACCTCACTCTAGGCCTAGCTGCTGCTGACCCTCGCGCCTTTATCCCAAGTTTGCTGCAGCAGTGGCAGCAAGTGCTGCTATGCAGCCAGTTGCAGCACCAGCAGGAGTTGCTGCTGGTGCAGCAGCAGCAGCAGCAGCCGGGCTCGCTGCTGCTGCACCTCCCCCTACGTTCGTCTCTGACTGTGAAAAGACAGCAGCAGCAGCAGCAGCAGCAGCACATCGCTTGCTGCTCATTTCTGCAGCTGCAGCAGATGCAGCGCACCAAATACGAGTGCTGCTGCTTCTGCTGCTGCTGCTGCTGTGCTGTTGCTGCGAACTTTGGCTGCCGATCCTGTAGCTGCTGCTGGCACAGCAGCATGATTTAGCTCCAAAATTAACAGCAGCAGCTGTTGCTGCAGCAGCAGCAGCAGCTGCTGCTGCAGCAACAGCTGCAACTGCAACAGCAGCAAGACTGTGCTGTTGCTGTTGCTGTCCCAACTGTAAAGGGCGCAGCGAAGAGTTGCTGCCTGAACCATTTAACAAGCAGCAGCAGCAGCAGTGTCTGCTGCTGCTGCTGCTCAATGTAACAAGCAGCAGCAGCCGCTGCTGCTGCTGCCCTTAAGATTTTTCTCGGTGACTTGGCGTAGCTGTGATTCACGGGCAGCAGCAGCAGCTGCTGCTGCTGCTGCACCTGTATCTGCTGCAGCAAACAGCGCTGGTCGTGCTTCTGCACACTTGTAACCTCGCGCAGGCCGGCTGCTGCTGCTGCTACTGCTGCAGTCGCTGTTGCTGCTGCTGCTGCTGCGGCGGCGGCGTTGCATCTGGTGTTGCTGTCGCTGCTGGCGCTGCTGCGGCTGCCTCACTGGCTGCGTCAGTCGAAGCTGCTGCTGCTGCTGCTGCCTCGCTAGCTCTACCACTCACTACTGCTGGTGCTGCAGCTGCTGGTGCTGCTGCTGCTGCTGCAGCTGCTGCTGCAGCGAGGCGCCGCGGGGCCTAGTAATTCAGATGTCCTGCTGCAGCTGAACTGCGCCATCCAGCGGCTAGCTACTAAATGGCTAGCTAGCCAAATCACTCCAGTGCCGCAGGCCGCAGGCCGGCCGGTTGGCCACAGCTAGCCAGCTAGCTAGCTAGCTAGCTAGCTAGCTGGGGCTTGCTGGCACCCTGGCTAGCCAGCTAGGTGGCTGAATCCAGCCAGCTAGCAGTCCGCTGCTAGCTAGCTAGCTAGACATTGCTCGCTAGCCAGCCAGCTAGCTAATTCGCTAGCTAGACACTTCTAGCCAGCTAGCTAGCTAGCTAACTCGCCAGCTAGGCAGAGCTCGTGGCTGTGGCTAGCTGCTTGGGCTTATAGCTAGCTATCTAGCTATGCGCGGCTCTTTAGCTGTGCCGAGCTAGCCAGCCGTAGCTAGCCATGGCTGTAGCTAGCTGGCTAGCTGTGGCTAGCCC